GCATCCTCCATCAGTGTTTTCACTCAAGGCTGGTACACTATAACCTCCGGTTATAGTTTTTTGCTGGTTAATTATAAGTAAGAGTCTCATCGACTTTTCTGCCCAGGTTGGCTTTAAGCTGGGATTCTCTGGTCTCAAAACTCTTAAGTAGCTAGGATTGCAGGTGTGAGCCACTGGCACCTGGTTTAACTTATTACCAGTTTATAAGTAAAAGGCATCTTGATCAATGTCATCCACTTGTGACCATTGCAATGTATGTTTTCATGCCACAGTATAATAAATTGCACAAAGCAACTTAATTCTACAATAAAAATAGATTGTTCTGGAACTTTTTTTTTTGTTCTGGAATTTTGAAAGACTTATTTTTCTTCATTCTAATTTGTTCTTCCATTTTTCAAATACTCTACTTAGTGGCTTAAAATGTAGCTCAATGGTGCAATTCATATTTAGTATTAATGAGATTCTGGGTCCAACCTCCAGCATCCTTCGTCCAAAAAAGTAAATATTAATTTTATAGTGGGAAAAATACCTTAAACTCATTAAGGAATTTCAGAAGAGCTACATATCATCTATGAACTCATGACCTTGAATAGTTTATTTCATTTTTACATATTACCTTCTAGCTGTTTTTCTTTTTGCGTATCATTATACATAACCAAAGTATCTTTTTTCACATTGCAATTTAATTGTACGCTTTAGCATATTTTCACATTAGTACATATGACTCAGAATTATCCTTTTCATTTTTTGGCTTCCTGAGACAGAGTCTCACTGTGTAGGCCTGGCTAGCCTTAAACTGGCAACCCTCCTCCTGCTTCAGTATCCCAAGTATAGGGATTACACGTGTCAAGTGATTCTTTTTTTTGTCATAGTATATGGAAACTTGCAATTTGAATTAGTGGTTTGTCAAAATTGAATTTTAAATTTTGCTAAAATTGTAGATGGAAACAAATCAAGACCACTGATAATTAATACAAAGCAAGGTTGGGGTTAAAGCTTAGAGGTAGAACAATTACCTAAAGTAATTCAAGCCCTAAATTCCATCCTCATTGCCACACATGAAAGACAAGGAAGAAGTGCTGTGGTTCAAAGTGGTAGAGAGCTAACCTTGAGGGAAAAAGCTCAGAGACAGGCATGACTGACAAAAAAAAGAAAGAAAAGCTGTGGTCAATAAGGAATCATATATATGTATGTTCCTTTATCTCCACCATAGGAAGCAAGCACTGTGCACAGGTGTAGGCTGGGCCTGCCCAGGAAGATAGTCCACAGGAGACAGAGTTTTTTGAGGGTCACCTTGTTCCATTAGCATTTTGCCCTTGTGACTTGACTTTTTTCAGCTCATTGTTCCTACCTGCTTGGATTCCTGGAACTCACATGCTCCAAAAGGCCAGGACAAAAGCAGACATGGCCCTAGAGGGCACAGATCTAGCTCAAAATTTATCCCCTGCTGTTGTATCACTGATAGAGGGCTTTATGCCTTTAGAAATAATAAGAGAGACATCTAATGTATCATTAACCTTACTGGAAAGAAAACAGACATCTCAAGAAGCAAAAGTGATAATAGTATCTTCTTCACTTTGTGGCTTTGAGGAAAAAGCAAAGCCTAATCCAGCTTCTGTCCTGACATGTGCTGGCAAGGATAGATGTGCCCTTTATTTGCTCTAAGCCAACCTCTCAGAAAAATAAATGGGAAGTAGAACTGTTTGTTTCATTTGTACCTTGAATAATCAGATTCTAAATCAAAATACTAAACTAGGTTCACGCCTGTAATCCTAGCTACTCAGGAGGCTGAGATCCATGCATCAAGGCTTGAAGCCAGCCTGGACAGGAAAGTCCATGGGACTCTTATCTCTAATTAACCATTGAAAAGCCAGATGTGGAGGCTGGGCACAAGTGGAAAAGTGCTAGTTTTGAGTGAAAATGTCAAATGAAAGTGAGAGAGCCTGTGTTCAAGCCCTTGTATCAGCACATGCGCACGTGCGCACACACACACACACACACACACACACACACACACAAGGATATAAATAAATAAGTAAAGTGCTATTCAAAAGCTGCCCCAAAGGACTCAGCTGAATGGAATACGACTGGAGTCTGACTCCTGTCCTCCATTCAGCCTTGTTCTCCAATAGAATAGAGACCTGTCGGTCTCTTTTGGGAACTTAAGGAGCTAAGAGGGTATGGCTGACTTGTAATTATTTGGGATAGTCTACCCCGTATGCAGTCAATTGCTGCCATCATCTTCCTTTTTTTTAGCTATTTTTTATTGTGAAAATACTGTACAGAGGGTTTACAATTACATGGGCAAGATAATGAGTACATTTCTTATCAAGCATTGTAGCCTCCTCCTTTGTTTCCCCTTCCCATCCCTTCCCATCCTCCTCCCTCCTCCCCCCCTACCAAAGCAGTAAAGTTCGTTTTCGATTTTTAGCTATTTTGACAGGATACATTTGCTAAAAAAAATAGTAGTTTCCCATTCACCTCACAATTAAAGGACCCCCACATATTTTTGTACTGAGGCTTGAACTAAGGGTCTCATTCTCTTGCTTAGGTTTTTCATTCAAGACTGACACTCTCTTCTTTGAGTCACACCTCCACTTCCAACTTTTTTGCTGATTAATTGGAAATGAGTCTCATGCACTTCTGCCTGGCTGATATTTGAATTGGGATCTTCAGTAGCATCCTGAGTAGCTAGGATTACAGGTGTAAGCCACTAGTGGTGAGCCACAACCCTACATTTTATATTACTTAGGTGTTTGGACCTTTATTATCATGCTATGACTGGCTATGTGGTTTTCAAGTAGAGTGGTCATCAATACAGATGTTATAGCATCTGCTTTCCCTGAATCATCTCCAGTATTCCCCAGCAGCCAGGGATATAAGGCGTCAGGTGAAGGAAGATAGCCCTCTGCCTCTATTTCAAAGGACAGCATAAAATACTCTTGAGCCATGTGCCTGCATGGCTCACCCTGTGATCCTGGCTACTCAGGAGGCTGAGATCTGAGAATCATGGTTTGGGGCCAGCCCAGGCTAGAAACTCAGAGACTCTTATGTCCAATTAACCACCAAAAAGCTGGAAGTTGAATTGTGGCTCAAGTGATGGGGTGCTATCCTTGAGCAAAAAAAAAAGGGGGGGGGAGGAACTTAGGGAAAGTACAGCACTCTCTTGAATTCAGTACTTTGATTGGTAACACCTAGCCTCTCAGAGGGCTCCTTTGTGGCAACTGATGACCTCAGCTCTGATTACTAACTAGTCTGTAAGTGAGCCCACCTGTCCACCTGTCTTCCTCCTCCACCCTTCATAATCCTCTGGGAAGTTTCATGGTGTGTTATGTCCAGATATCTTTTGGGATATGGGTAGGCTTAACCCATGACCTGCTCTAACTTTGGGTCCTTGGTCAAGGCTGTGGGCTCCTTTATGACAGGCAGGAAGAACTATGTGCAGAAAAACACATGCATGTAAATTCTGCTTCTATTGCTATCTCTGTGTGCCCTGTGGCAAGTTCCTTAAGCCTTCTGTGCCTCTTTTCCACAGTCTAGGAAACAAAGAGTAATAATAGTACAGATCTCATGAAATTTTGTAGCAATTAATTAAAGTTTTTGGCACATAATTAGGTTTCACTAAAAATCTCTTGTTACTGTGTTTATTATCACTATTACTATCCTAGAGGAAAGAAATAGAAGTCGTAAAAACCAGTTCATCTACCAGGGGCCAGTGGCTCAGGTTTGTAATGCTAGCTACTCAGGAGGCTGAGATCGGAGGATCACAGTTAGAAGCCAGCCCAAGCAGGAAATTCCATGAAACTCTTAGCTCTAGTTAACTACCAAAAAAGTCAGAAGTAGAGCTGTGGTTCAAGGGGTAGAGTGCTAGCCTTGAGCATGAATGCTCAGAGATTACCCAGGCCCAGACCAGCAAAAAAGAAAGAGAGAAAAAAGAAAGAAAGAAAGAAAGAAAGAAAGAAAGAAAGAAAGAAAGAAAGAAAGAAAGAAAGAAAGAAAGAGAGAGAGAGAAAAAAGAAAGAGGAATTTTCATTGAAATATTGGGAGTTGACAGGGCATCATGTCATCATTTTGTTCTCATAATCAAGGGGAGAAAACTTTGTTCTGATTTTCTAACTTTTGTCTGTATTTGAAATTACTTTTCAAATGTATGAGCACAAAGCTTAGGTATAGTACCCAAGCCCAGAGTGTCCAAGCCCCATGATACACACACACACACGCACACACACACACACACACAGAAAGAAAAATACATGTAGAAATTGGATATCAACTTCGATAACTTTTCCATCTCAAATTTTAAGAAATGGTTTTAGCAGTTTTGTCTGTCATTTATCATGGATTTCCTACATTTCTGAAAGTCTTGTATTCAAAACAAAGACAAGTTTGTCACATTTGCCAAGTATATTCTGTAGTAATTTTATGAAACGTCAATAATTTAGTGTTCCTTGGAACCCTACACTTTTACCACAGGTAGCAATTAACCCCAAAGTAAAGTGAACGGGGTTAGGAGGTACTGGGTTTTCATGTCCAATCTGCAAATCTGCCCTTAGCTTTGGCCATGTGGTGTTATAAAAGCTCTCTCTCAAGCCTCTGCTGGTGGCCAGGAACTAATAAGGAGTCTATGCTCTTAGGTCTGGCTGCTTAGCTTGCTTGTTCAGTGAGCACCAGACTCTTGGGGTCAATGTCATGGGATTTGAGCTCTGTAAATACAAGCCAGTTCGTGACGTGTCCAAGACTGTTTCCTTAACTCCAAACAGCTGTCACTTAGATGATGGGTATTTAGTTCCCATGGAACTGGGCAAAAGAGCACGGATGGATTAACACAAATCCATCACCAGCATCTTTCCTGTGGAAAAAACAGCTCAGAAAATGATGTGTGTGGAGTCACAAAAAAAATGGGTTAGTGTGCAAACAAAGGAGAAAGAGACAACTAGATAGCACTTGGCTTATCTTATGCACACCTTGGCATTTCCAATTGGTGTTAACTTCTCTTACAGCTGACACAGCCCTTGGCACGGATGACATCTACGATGATAAAGGATGCCAGTGTGATGTGTCAGTGGAAGATCTCACCCCACCACTCAAGACTGTCATTCGAGCTATCAGGTTAGTGAACTCTCTAGAACAAAATAATTCCAGACCTATCTTCACTTATTTAGGTTACTGTCTTACCAAGTTCTGTGTGTTTCCACAAGAACTTCTTTCCATCTTCATCCAGGTGCCTAGTCAAACGTGCAGTATTTTTTTCTCTTAATGTAAAACTGTTGAGTTCAACAGAAAATATGTTATGAAAGGTGGGTAGAGTTTGAAAAACCAAGTCACTGGTCACAGGAGGCTCTTTCTTATACAGATAGCAATTTATTTGTCTGTGTGTGTGCATGTGTGTGCTAATATTGAGGATTGGATTCAGGCCTGGGCACTGTCACATAGTGCTTTTAATCAAGGCTGACAGCCTACCATTTGAGGCACAGTCCACTTAAAACTTTTGACTAGTCATTTGATGTTAAGACTTTAACCGACTTTCTTGCTTTGGGGTGCCTTCGAAACAAGATCCTCAGATCTCAGCCTCCTGCGTACCTGGGATTACAGGTATAAGCTACCAACACTCTTTGAAATTTGTTTTATTATCCTTAAATAGTTGTGCAAAGAGGTTTCAAATCATTATGTCTGTTTAGGTGTACTGGACATCTTGATCACCATTCTCCCCCATCTATCCCAACCACGCCCATCCACTCCTGGTCCCTAGCTCTGTTTCCATGTGTATATATAGTATTATGATGTGTTTACCTACTCTCCTCTCTCCATTTGGTCATACCCTTCCCCTTAACTTCCATTCCCTCAAATAAGACATGTTTCAGCTTTCTGGTATTCATTTAATATCAGTTAAGTGTTCAAAGTAGCCACATCATGGCAAATGGCCCCTGCATAGAGTATCCTTCGGTCAGTTTGTATATGGCCCTGTACATGCTTTCCCATATGTTTATATTTTAGATCTAACCTAAGGGAAGTCCTTTTAATTTAAATTAATTAAGGATTGTGAGTGAGACTCAAGTGGTAGCATGCTTGCTGAGAATGTGAGAAACCCTGAGTTCAAATCCTAGTATTGACATAAAAATTATTGAATTAATTAGAATGGAATACAATTTAAAATTCAATTGATGAGTCTCATATTTCACAGTCTTAAGCATGCAAGAAATGTTAAGTGGCTGATGGCCACCCTATTAGACAAAGAAAATATGAAACATTTCTATCAGACATTGCTTCTCTATAAGTCATCTTGATGGCATCATGAGACACCCTAAAATGAAAGCAAAGCTGTTTAGTTCATTCTTGCAGTCAGTCCGACTTGCAACCGCACAGCACATCCTATCTAGCAGAGGAAGATTAAGTTTCCTAAAAGTCCTACTTAATGCAGTGAGCAACACTACCCAAGGCATGGAGCATTCTGCTTTGCTTCACAACTAACGAAAAGGATTGTGAGCAGCAAGAAAGAAAATGAAATCAGTTTATTCCGCTAGCTAAGTCCTTTATCAACAGTTTAAGAGTTTCTTTGCTATACCCTCTTAAAATCCAGCTGGTTTTTGTAAAGTATTTTTCAGAATTCCCTTGTTTTTCAGAATTCTTGTTTTTTGTTTGTTTTGTGCTGATACTGACTCTTGAACTCAGGGCCCAGCTACTATCCCTTAGCTTTTTTACTCAAGGCTGGTCCTCTACCACTTGAGCTCCATACCTGGCTTTTTAGTGGTTAAATGGAGGTAAGAGTTTCATGAACTTTCCTGCTCCAACTGGCTTTGAACTTCAATCCTCATATCTAGACTCCCTGAGTAGCTAGGATTACAGGCATATTGCCTGTAATAACAGGACCTGTGCCTAGCCTGGTCCTTACTTTTAATTGAATTTATGATTTTCCTCTCTGTCCATTCTGTGGAGCTCTGACTCTTTTGCATGTTAATTGGCGAAATTGAAGGGTGATTCTTTTGTCCCCTATACCCTCATTTTGCTTAGTGCTTGTTTTTTTTCAAAACACTTCTTTAAATTCCATCTAAGTTTATTGAATTTCACAAAAGCCTAAAAGCTACACTAAATAATTTAATAATTTAATTAGGAATCTGTAATTTTGAGGAATACATGATTTAAAAACCAACCAAAGGGGTGACTCTGCTCTAAAACCCCTTGGCACAGCTATTTGAAGATAATAATTCTTAAGGAGAAAATGAAATAAAATGAAGTTAAACAAAATAATAAAATAAAATGCCCAACCATTAAATAAAATAATAAAATAAAATGTCCAACCAATATAATCAGCAGTTCTATCTCTTGTCGGTCATGGGCCTGGGAACTGTCCCTAAGCTCTTCAGTTCAAGGCTAGCACTCTTCCACTTAAGCTACAGCACCACTTCCGGCTTTTCTACATATATGGTGCTGAGGTATCAACTCAGGGCCTCATGCCTGCAAGGCAGGCTCTCTACCACTGAGCCTCCTTCCCAGCCCCTATAATCAGTAGTTCTGAAAAGCAGTTTTCAGACAGACCCAAATTTGGTCTTTTCCCAAAGGAGTGTAATCACATAAATAAGTTCAACAACACTAATGGGAAAGTTTTTGGCCAGAATATGCACAACTTTTAAATCTCACCTAAAATAGTATTTCATTTGTATTCCACTGATTTCAAGTGTGAACTACCTATTATATCTAAAATAGTAAATGGGACATTTTCCTTGGGTTGGCTTACTATTATTGTTCTTGGTAATACTGGGGTTTGAACTCAGAACTGCATGCTCGCTTAGACATTCCACCACTTGAGCCACATTTCTAATCTGGTTATTATTTTGTCAGATAGCCTTGTATTTTGCCTGAACTGGCCTTAGACTTTGATCCGTCTTCTTATACCTTCTTCACAACTGAGATACTAGATTTGCATCACCATGCCCAGCTTTTTTCAATTGAGATGAGTTCTCTCCTATTTTTTGCCTGACTAGCCTTCAACAATGATCCTCTAGATACCTGCCACCTGAGTAGCTTTGGTTACAGATGTGAGCCATAGTGCATATCCCCCTTGTTACTTTGTGGGTGTTAGAACATTAAATTCAAATACTTCAATACACCTTTTATATCCTAGAAACACTTGAAATAGTCATTTTTAGCCAGGCGCTGGTGGCTCACGCCTATAATCTTAGCTACTAAGGAGGCTGAGACCTGAGGATCACGGTTCAAAGCCAGCCCCAGCAGGAAAGTCCATGAGACTCTTATTGCCAATAAACCACTCAGAAAAAAAACAGAAGTGGCTCTGTGGCTCTAGTGCTAGAGCACTAGCCTTGAGCTGAAGAGCTCAGGAACATTGCCCAGACCCAAAGTTCAAGCCCCACAACCAAAAAAAAAAAAAAAAAAAGGCATTTTTCTTAAGACACAAAATAAAAATATGTAGCAAAATACATACTTTACTACAAGGATGACAGTATGGAAAATATTATTTCTTCATTTACCAAGAGCAAAGTCAAATTTCCTATTTTCATTTATTAATGCTTAGGATCTGCCATTTCCTACTTATTTCTGATAGTGAAACTTCTCAAACAGTGAGGTAATTAAGACCAGCCTCTGGATTCTGTCCTCTAAAAGCCCCTTCAGGATGTTTTTGATGAGCAATATAATTATTTGCCAGTGTCTGTGTTTGTTGTGATTGGGTTTCATTCCCATATTTTTCAGTGCTGGAGCTTGAACTAGGGCCTTGAGCATACTAGGCAAGCAAGCACCCTACCATAGAGCTGTATCCACCTGGTCCCATGATGTCATTTTTTTTCTTTCAGTGCTAGTCCTTGAACTGAAACACAGGGCCTACCATAATGCTATCCCTGAGCTTTTTTGCTCCATGATGGTGCTCTACCACTTGAGCCACAGCTCCATTTCAAGCTTGCTCTTTTTTCTATCATTTTTTTGTCTTTTCTTTCATTTTCTTTTTTTGGGTGTGCTAATTGTAAATAAGTCTCACAGACATTCCTGCCTGAGATTTCTTTGAACCAGGATCCTCAGATCTTAGTTTTCTGAGTAGCTAGGATTATAGGTGTGAGCCACCATTGCCCAGAAGATGTCATTTTTAAAATACATACTTAAAACAATGACTATTTTAGACCATTTATAAAACATGCTGTTTGTTTCACAGAAAACAGTTTTGTATATTTCTCACAGAATTACCACAGATTTCCTTCAAAATATTATTTTATATATTTCACAAGTCTTCTGGAAATACCTTTTGCTCATTTTTTTTACCCATTTTGCTGTTTATTAGTGTGTGTGTGTGTGTGTGTGTGTGTGTGTGTATGCGTGTGTGTGTATGTGCTGGTTTTAAGGATTGAACTCAGCCTGGGCAGTGTCCCTTTTTTTGCTCAAGGCTGGTGGTGCTCTACTACTTGAACCACACCTCCACTTTCTGCCTTTTTGGCAGAATTGTAGATAAGTGTCTGGAGAACTTTCCTGCTCTGACTGACTTTGAACCACAATGCTCAGATCTCATCCTCCTGAGTAGCTAGAATTACAGATGTGAGCACCAGCACCTGACCATTTTTATTATCTTTAAGTAGCTGTGCAAAGCAGTTTCTGTTCAGCATGTCCACTTCTGAGTACAGTGCATCCCGGTCAGTGCCATTATATCCCAACCCCAGCCATCCTCTCACATAACCTGGTTTCATTTTCACTACGTACATTGAATACTATGACTGTTTTCATCCACCTTCCTCTCTGCCTTCGTCTGACCTTTACCCTTCAGCCCACCCCCTACCCCGGGAAAAAAAAATCATGTTTTAACTGCCTGGTATTCATTTTTCTAAACTATCAGCTGTTCAAAAGAGTTACAAATCCTCCCCTACATGTAACATACTTTAGTGAATTTGTTTATGTATATATGTATGTATATTTATAAGTTAGACCTAACTTTCACATATGAGAAAAAATGTGCCCTTTGTTCTTGATTATACTCATTTAAACGAAAGCTCTATATCCTGTTAATGGCTCAGTTTAAACAATTTATCTTCATTTTCATCCATTCATGGAAATAAATTTCTGAATAGGTAAGGTTAGTTGGGATTGTCAATAAATTGAGACACTCTAAGGCAATA